AAAAAAAGGCAGCTCTGGCAAGATAAAGGAGGCTGTCTTGGCATGACTGCCAAGCATATGCCACACTGCTCTGTAATCGGACCGCTGGTGGACCAAGTAAATTCCTCTACAGTTCTCTGGCTCTGACATCTAAGCAAGGCCATTCCGTTCATGGGGAATGCTGGCAAACCCTAACATTCCTGTCAGTCTTAAAATTGGCAACTTCTTGAAAACCACTACTCCCTTGCATTGTTCTCGGCAGGTGAGCAGGTGAGGAGTGGCTGCAGGCTGCACTGAGCAAGCAGTGCCTCAGCTGCTTGGGAAACATCTAAGCGATCCCTGACTGCATGAAACAAAGATCCAGATACGTGGGTTCTACGTGGACTCATCATTGTACACATGTTCTGAAATGACAGCTTTGTGAAGAAACTAAACCTGCATGTAGAATTCAGAACTACCACAGTACACACAACAACAGTACAACTCAACATAGGCCAATTCTTATATAGAATAACGGGAATATGCAAATTCAGCATAAAACAAAGAAAGGAAAAAATGTCAATCCCAGGGAAAGCAGGAAACAAGTGGCACTGATGACTGGAAAACACTCAAAGAAGTAATTTTTTCAATTGGCCATGTTGTTGTTATTGTTAGGTGTCATCAAGTAGGTATCCCATAGAGACCCTATGCACAGCCGAATGAAACACTGCCCGATCCTGGGCCCTACTGTTGCCACGCTTGAGTCCATCGACACTGCCACTTGGCCAATCCATCTCGTTGGGGGTCTTCTTCTTTTTCTCTCCCTACCAAATATGATATCCTTCTCCAGCAAATGGTCCATCCTGACAATATGTCCAAAATATGAGAGATGAAGTTTGGCCATCTTGGCCTCTAAGGAGCACTCTGGCTGCACTTCTTCCAAAACAGATCTATTGGTTCTTTTGGCAGCCCATGACACTTTCAATATTCTCCTCCAATACCATAACTCAAAGGCATCAATTCTTTTACAGTCTTCCTTAGGATTCAATTGGCCATAAGGATTCAGTAAACTGCCCCTTACGCACTTAAGCCAGACAGCTAATCAGAAACCACTTCCGAAGCATGCCAATAAAGTTTAAATGAGGCATGCTTTCCCAGATCCTAATTTGTTGAAAGCCATACTCCATTTCCATTTTGACATACATCATATGTCAAATACTATTCAGTGAATGAGAACACTTACTCCCCAGTGATGACAGGAAATCTACCATGGTCTCTTGCTCAACCTCATGCAACAGACAGGGCCCAAGCTTGGCCTTCTCGACACAACCTCAGCAAGGGGAAGCTGGTGCCTCTCAAATATCCCCATGAAGAGACAGACAAAAGTGAATTGAAAATCCTAAATGGCCAACCTCTTAAAAAAGGAAGTGTTCCCCAAGGGTCTAGGCTTACTTTGTAAATCGACTGAACTTTATTTTCCACATTATCTATCTTAATAAAAACCTTATTTTAGAGCTAATGAATGAAATTATTACTACTGCCTCCCCCAAACAGGTACAACCGGCGCACCATATTTAATCTGCCACTTTGAGTATAAGCGGTTGGGTCCTGAAGTACCCAGCAAGCGGAGAATCACAGGAGGAGAACTCAGGAGCCCAGGAACTGCTAAGGAGCACACTAACCACCCTGGCTTCTTCCTCACACTGCAACTTGCATAGAGGACAGGTTTCAGCATTTCGTTTCCAGAATTGATATGTTTTCCTGTTCCACCTACTATTTCTGTGGCTGACAAGCCAGGAGAGGGCACAAGAAAAGAACACAGGCTGAAAGGAAGTCAGGCTCAGGGTATGATTCCTGCCTGTGTATAGAAAGCTGTGTAGACTGACCCGAGCCTTGTAAGTTTTTTAAATGGTGGAGTGGCCATACGCACCATTTGGGAGTATGGTAGAATTAAATGGATTGATGCAAATATAAGTCCTGGCACACAGGAGTCCTCACAACCCTGGTCTAACCCCACCCCATCTCTAGGATACAACTGACAGAAGACAAGGTTGTAAAATAAAAAAAGGAAATAAGATAAAAGTGCTATTTTGCATCATATATCAATGAGAGATAGTGTGGCATATCAATGGAGTCTAAGTACCATCCTGCAAATTAAACCTCAGGGCTGATCTCTGGCACCCAGTACTTGGCTCGTGAGAGATGACTTGTGCTGCTCTCCTTCATTCAGCACCACCGCTGTCATTTCCCTGTGGCGCCCCAGTAAGCTAGGCACATGCAGCCAGGGACTCAGCGGGCCAGGTTTCCAAAAAGAGCAGCTCCTCGTACATCTCTAAAAGAGTGATGAGGGAATCACAGAGCAGAGACACAGCTGTAGTCAAAAGTACAACACTTCAGTGGCCATGAGAACAAAAGAACCTGTTAAACACCATGAAGACTCTACTGAAACTATTTGCTCATTACTTTTAACTTCTAGGTTTGGTTGATTCCAAAATAAAGTAATAGCTAAATCGACAAACCAAACTTAAACTCAGCCAAGCACACACGATACTTGTTATGGATGAAATTGTGCCCCGCCTCCCCAAATCTGTTTTAAATCGTATATCTGTGGCTGTAATCCCGAGAAGGAAGAACAAATGGAGGGGAAGACGCACACCACATGAAGATAGCCAAGAAATGGACACTGAAGAGAAACAAGGAGAATGCCTTCTCCTACAGCCAGTGTCCTGGACTTCGAATCCCCCTATTATGTGAGAAAATAAAGCCACCCACTTGTGGCATTTCTGTTATAGCAGCACTAAGAAACTGAGAAAAAACATACATACTGAAGAAAAAGAAGCCTGGGCAGCAGGCCTCCTTAAGGATCTGATCACACCTTCAACGTTTACCCACTCTTCCACAAAGAATCAATCACAGATTTCTGGCCAAGAGAAATGTGCATGGGGCTTTTCAGACTGCACTCTGAAGTGTTACCTTACAGGACTGTGGAGAGCTAAGTAACACCATGCACTTAAAGGGCTCAGCACACAATGCTGTTGTTAAGTGCCATGGAGTCGATTCCAACCCATAGCGACCCTGTAGAGGGTTTCCAAGGAGCATGCAGTAGACACTCAATAAGTAGAGCTATAGTAGCAATTACTATCACTTCAAATTCAAATCCTCCCTCTAAACTTCAAGAGCTCATGTGACGGATCTGACTTTACATTCCATCGTTTCCCTAGGAAGACCGTGTCCTCTAACCCCAGGAGACTACACTGTTCCCCACGCCCACCTCACACATCTTTCACACTCATGCCCAGATTCTATATTAAGTCAGACCCAACTAATCTAACATCTGGGGAAATGTTTAAAAATCAGGATGATGTTGTTAAGTGCCACTGAGTCGGCTCTGACTCATAGCGACCCTGTACAGGGTTTGCGAGGAGGAGCTGGTACGTATGAACCGCTAGCCTTGCAGTTAGCAGTCCAGTGCTACGCTGGACTATACAGCACTACACTGAGACTCCAAAATCAGGATAATTTGCTTAAAAACCCAAATATACGATTCCTCCAGGAAAATGCGAAAACAAGCAGAAGAGGATCACACTCATGCTCACAGGGCAAACACTATACTGGAGCAGAGGGGCAGCTTCCTTTTCAAAAGGTCCCCAGACTTGTCATCCTTTTCTCACACCACCTCCACTGAATTCATTCATCTGCCTCACTGGCTCTTGGTTTGTGATCCCTGATTCTGAGTATATAATGCATTCATTTACACTGCAATTCAAACTTTGGGTTCTCGAATACGAATCTAAAACTTTAGGCTAGGGCCCATCCATTTCCCATGCCCACCTTCTCCTCTTTGATTCCATTCCACAAGCACCCATACTTACCTTTCTGGTCAGGTCCATTTACCTCAAGAAATAACCTTCTTCTCACTTCTGAACTTAGTACTTATAAAACTCACTAAGTTCACAACTTCTTCAACAGGCCCACATATTAGCTGCCTAGTGGAGAGTCTGTATAATACAAGTAACTGCACTATGAACCCTAAAGGTTGCCGTGAAGTGTTTTATCTGTGAATGGTACAGGGGGTCAGCAGTAAAACTGTTTTGAATTCATTTATCACTATGGTAAACAAGCAAGCTCTCAAACCACTATTTTAAAATCATCTCACTGATGAGCCACATTTGAGAACTGATCATTAAAACCAAGGAGTCCTAGTGTGGTGCTGCAGGAATAAACACTTGACTGCAAGGCTGGTTTGAACTGCAAGGTTGGAGGCTGAAACTCACCAGATATTCCTTGGAAATGCTATAATAGGGCCATTATGAACCAGAACTGATTCAACAGCACTTAACAACAACAATTATAACCAAGAGACATGGGGTGCAGAGTTCCCATCTTGGTGGCAAAAGGTCTTGGGTTATCTCAACTGACCTCTTAGAGTCTGATTTTTCCCTTCCTTGGAGTATTTCCCATGACTTTATATATGCCAGCAATTTGTCTTACACTGTCTTACGCTACAGAATTTAAAAAATTGTATCCTGAGCATTTTCAAATAATATAATGGTTCCAATTAAGCTGAGGCACCACTCTGAGACCAATATTTTGAGTTTAAAAGAAAAAAGAATGGAATATTTTTAAGAAAACCATAGCAGTGATGAGCTCTTTAAAAGCCAAATGAAGGAGCCACCGAAGCCCTTACAGGGGAGAGGTCTGTTCAAACAAAGCAATGTGAATACCTCCCCTGCAAGTCTGCTGGTTGTGTGTGGTACCTTCCTCACCATGCCCAAATGCATGGTACTGGGAAATGAACACAGAGTAGTTGTAGGAGGCACCCACAGAGTGTAACCATCTGTTATCAACACGGTGGTTCTTTAAAAAGAGATAGCCATACGAAGTTCATCTTCTGTCTGTCAGGAGGAATCTCATAGCTCAGTGACCAGCTGAGGATGACAGCAAGTTTCCTGTGTAGTTTGAATTCTGCATGGAAAAAGCGACGCCAAGCAAGCAAGTGGGAGCCATTGTCCCAAATGAGACCAGAAGAACAAGGCACGTACCAGGTCGATCAGGTCACTGAGGTTTTTCTCGATTTGCTGTGGAGGCAGGCGCCTCATTAAATCCAAGGCACAGTCCAGCTGCTGATCACTCTGCGGAAAGAGGAAGAACAGTGCGTAAGTCAGTTTTGCCAAAACGAATTCCAACCCCTTTCTTTTAAAACGTGTTCTTTCAGTTGTTGCTTGCCTATGGAATTCTAAAACCCAGAAAGCACTGCAGCCAGCCCTCTGGTAGACCGCTGCGTGCTTGTAGCTTAGAGTGAGACCGCCAAGCAGGCTTCCGCAATAATAACCTCTATCACAAGCCGAGACATTCAGAAAGACACGAAAAGATCTGCTCTCCTTTTCTACCCACATCTCAAAGCCTTTTGTCAGCTTTCCTCCTACTCAGCAGACCATGGGAGTTAGAGATGTACTGAGTTCTGGCTGGTTCTGCAGTAAGCCTGCTTCATCCTGGGGAGAAACAGCAGATACCATCACCAGGCTAGGTTCCGTGAGGAGCTCAGAGCCAGGGACAAAGCCAGGTGAAGAACAAATGTCAAGATGCATACAAAGATTAAAAGCTCTTCACGGAATGATTCTCAAGTTGGGGAAAAGACGAGAACTTATCACTGGGGGGTCTGTTCTGTATTCGCTTTTCTACTTTCAATTTAAGTGCTGTCGAGTTAGTTCCAATTTATTATGACACTAAACAGAGTTTCCAAGGAGTGACTGGCTGGTGGGTTTGCACTGTCAACTTTTTTAGTTAGCAGCCCAATGCTTATTCTGCAGTGCCATACCAGGACAAATTGCTTACCCTCTGTTGTTATTGTTGTTAAGTGCTGTTGAGTTGGTTCCAACTCGCAGTGACCCTGAATGGGTATTTGAGGAGGGGCTGATGAGTTTGAACCAACAACCCTGCAGTTCAGTACTTATCCTACAGAGCCACACCAGGACTCCTTGCCCTCTAGGAGCCTCTACTTGTTTATCTATAAAATGGGAACAGTATTTACCCTCTTTATTGACTACTGAATGTGCTTTGGGCTGCCAAAAGAATGAACAAATCTGTGTTGGAATACAGTCAGAAGGCTCCTTGGGAGGAAGCAAGGAAAATAAGACTTTTTCTCACGTACTTTGGACATGTTACCAGGAAGGACCACTGGAGAAGGAACATCATTATTTGGTAAAGAACAGAGTCAGTGAAAAAGAGAAAGACCCTCAACCAGATGAATGGCACAGTGGGTGCACGACGGGCTCCAATACAGAAATGACTGTAAGGATGGCTCAGGGACTCAACAGCACGTAATAACAAGCTACCCTCTCAGAGGGTCATAATGATTTGGATGATGAATGTAGACTGACAGCAAACCAGGTACCCTCGCATCAACTCTGATTCATGATGATTCCACGTGTGTCAGAGTAAAACTCTACTCCACGGGGTTTCTCAATGGCTGATATTTATCAATGCTGATAAACTGAGCATGTTTATCATTTGCATCACCCAAGGTAATATATGTGGGGAGGCATTTTCTGTGTGTATGTGTAAACAAGCATACATATTTTAAATGTTTATTGTGTAATAATACCCCCACTTACTCCAACCCTGAAGTCTTTCTTTTACTCAAGTTCAAAGTACACTAGAGTTCACTTTAAACTGCATGCTCGAAAGCCACACATAACTACATATTCTTTGTTGGCCAGAAAGCAAAGAAACCCATAAATGATTCAAGTCAAATCTGCTGTTACAACTGGCACCTGGTGGGTAGAGGCTGGTGTTGCTACTAGCATCTTATACCACAGTGTGGCCACAACCACCACCAGACCTCAAATGCCAGTGAAGTCACGGGTGAGACGCCTTGGGGGTGTTGCAGGCTCCCAGAACCAGATCAAAGTTAAGGCTTCTCTGTCCAGAACACTATACAGGCACAGGAACATTCTACATATTAATTCTAATTCACAGACTACTCACACCTCTAAGGCGTTCTGGTCTTTGGACAATGCATTTACTTGACCAGAAGGAGTCACCCTAAGAAGACACTTACTTTTATCCCTGCAGTGCAGTCTGTTCACCCTCAGCCTCAACAAGCTGTTCGTGCCCTCAGCCCCTTCAAGGGCGTGAGCAGCATGTGGGGTCCCTTCCTGACAGGCCGCCATCTAACTGTATCTAGAGTAGAAAGACTGAAATTACTACTACAGAACTATCTAACTCAAATATTTCAGCAATCTCAATCTTAATTGGAAAGGTTTCACTATAAATTTCTACGGCTAAGGGCGTTTAACTATCATTAAATTAGTAAGTGACTAAATGCTTCCCACAAGTGAGGCAACATGGAAAATCTTACTGACAGCTTGTGAAACATTAAAATAGCGTTAACTGGAGTCACTGAAGAAGCCTTGGTGGTGCCGTGGTTTAATTGCTTAACTGGGAACCAAAAAGTTGTTAGTTCAAACCCACCAGTCACTCTGTGGGAGACAGATATGACAGCCTACTTATGTACAGATTGTTGTTAAGTGCTATCAAGTTGGCGCCAACTCATAGTGATCCTGTGTAGTGTTTCCAAGGAGCGGCTGGTGAGTTTGAAGTGCCAACCCTGTGGTTCACACTGACCTTGCAGTCCAATGCTTTATCCCACAGTGCCAGATTACCGCTTTGGAAACCCCTATGCGGCAGTTCTACTCTTTCCTCTAGGGTCATCAGGAGACCTCATTGACTTGATGGCAATGGGTTGAGTCATTCACTTGGGAGTCATCCCAAATACTAAGGGTCAAAACAAGAAAGGGCATGAGAGAATGAAGGAAACACAGGTGACCTGCAGCTACATGCAACAAGTGTGACCTTAGTAACTGAAGTGATGGAGGCCCTAGGAACTATCTGTGCCGCTGTAACTTTTATAAAGCTTAAAAACTTGCAATATCTATTCGATGTATGAGTGTGACTGAGTTTTAAACTTGGAGGTCAAGGGGTTTTTTGTTGTTGTGTATGTGTGTTTGAGACAAGGAAACAATAAATACAAAATTCAGATGAGTGAAAATATAGCAGGTTTTGAGAAGAGGCCAAAAGGGATAGATGAAAGTTGATTAACCACAGGTACTGTGTGCGGTGATGGGTCCAAGGGTATTCATTATATGCACCATGCTTCAAAGGTCCAAATATGCTAAGAAATTCCTCTGTAGTCTTCATATACATACATAGCTTTATATATGGTGGCTGTGGTTATATGTCGTGGAGTTGGATTCCAACTCACAGTGACCCTGCATAGGGTTTCCGAGGCTGTAGATCTTTATGGGAGCAGAAAGCTTCATCTTTCTCCCATGGAACCGCTGGCAGTTTCAAACTGCTGATTGTGAGATGAGCAGACTGGCTCGTAATCACTACGCTACCAGAGCTCCTTATCTTTTTATATATATATACCTTTTGATATATATTTGTTGTTGATAAGTGCTATGGAGCCAGTTCCTTCTCATAGTGACCCTATATAGGGTTTCTGAGGCTTTAAATCTTTGTGGGAGCAGAATGCCTCATCTTTCTCCCCTGGAGTGGCTAGTGGGCTTGAACTGCAGATCTTGTGGTTTGCAGTTCAGTGTTTCTCTTGTTTGAAAGGTAAGAGAAACAATTCAAACAAGAGCAAGCAAGGACAGGACCTGGCCTCTCTCGAATATGCCAACTTGTGGATTAGGGTTTGCATGAGACGGCCTCTGCGAGTCTTTTGGATGGGCCAAGCCCACCATCTCACTCCGTGTGGATTAGGGTTTGGGTGAGAAGGCCTCCGCGAGTCCTCTGGATGGGCCAAGCCCACCATCTCACCCCATGTGCAAACCTGCCCTGCCCTTCAGAAGCATCTTCCCAGATTCACCCTCCAAGTGCAAACACTACTTTCCCCTAGAGTTCTACCTTATAGGCCTCCAACTAGGTTGAAATTCAACAACCATTTGTTAGGGGGGCAACTGGCAGTCAGGCCTTGAACTAATAAGCCCGTGAGTGAAATAGCTCCACCTCTTAAGGCACAAACTGTCCACAAAATAGTAAATAATCACAAGGTAGTGTAATGGGACACAGGAGTTTCACATCACAGTTCACAATATATAAATTGGCACTTCTTCATGTGCCAATTATTTTCCTAGGATTTCCCTCCCTCGAGGTTTATTTTCCCCTACCTCCACCTTTCAATTTATTTTGTAAGCGCTCTCCCATGACTAAAAGTGGGGGCTCCTTCAAAACTGATCCAGACACTGCCTTCATAAAATTAACTTCATGAATTCTATCTTCCACTCCAGGCGTTTTCCAGTTGAAAGGCAAATAGTAAAAGAACAGCCATTTCACTTCATTCTCCAGAATGTTCTGCTCATTCAATTAGTCATTTGACAATTGTTTATTAGGTGTTTCCTAGGTAACAGCACTATTTATATTCTGAATGGTGGACATAACAAAGTTTCTGTCTTCATGAAGTTCATGGTGTAATCAAAATCAATATGGGAAAAAGCAGGGAAGAATCCTTGCTAGGGTATCAAAGGATAGAGGGGACAGGTATGCCCACTTAAAGCTGCGTGAGGCGCCAAAGGATACGTTGAAGTTTTTGCTTTACAGTATATAAACTTGAGTTAAGAAAAGTTAAACTTTGTGCTAGTTTTTCCACATGACTTAAGGAAAAAGCACAAAACTGGCTTACATCAGCCAGCAAAAAACAAAACAATTGCCAACACTGCCTAGGAAAACTTTTTCAGAATAATAAGTCAGTTTATTACCACTCACTATTGTCTCAAAAAATCTGCTAAAACTTGGCCTATTGAGTTAATCAAAAGGGCAAAGTCTGGTTTGGGAATCATCATCAAACGAAATAAAGTCAATCTTTAGGTGGGGTTAAAGAACAGACCGCGCTCCAATTTACGATCAGCTTAAAGTCCAGTATACCGGATATATGCCCACAAATGCGATGTGCTATATAACAAAGGGGCATTCTAAGTGGTACGGAAGAGCCCCACGCCATTTCTCCAGAGAGGGGGACTGAGCCGAGCTATCGCTTGATGAGTGGGAGTGCAGAAGGTGGGCAGCAGGTGCAGCAAGATCAAAGAAGAAAGATAAGGGTAAGCAGAGCACACTGGCAGGCCCGTGGGAG